CTATTGCAACGTAGACGAGGGGTCCTCGTCCAAAGATCTTTCATAAAAAAACCAAAAGGGTCAAACTCAACAGAGCATTGATTTTCAGTGAAAAATTGACGCACAGAGATTAGATTTTTGGTAAGCGAAGGAACATGGTAAACATTAGGGAAACGAAACTAAGAACAAGAGAGTTGACCAACGGATTGAATAGGTAAAGAATGACCATTACCAATAATGACTCGAGTAAAACCAGTATAAGGTTTTGAATTAGTAAGAGTACCTTGAGAGGGAGTCATAGTGTTACCACAAGCAGTGTCCATATACCAATCTCGAGCAGATGGGGGAATAGAAAGGCGATTATTGTGACCCCCAAAGTAAGCGGGCTGTTGAAATTGATAGCAATCTCGAGCAGAGTGATTGAATTAATTGCACAATTGGCAACGAACAGCAGTGGGATTGGACTGAAGAGGGAGCCGGGCCAAGAAGAGAGAGAGCATGTTGCCTGGGAGTAAACATAGGAGCTGTATAAGAGTTAAAAGGTGCTGAAAACAAGGAGGGATACATGACCAAAAAATTGGTTGCGTCCACGCCCAAGGCCACGTCCCCGATTATTCTGAAAACCGCGACCCCTGTCATGGCCACGATTGGAAGACGGCTGCTGTTGAGAAGGGGTATTGGACTGCTGCTGTGGAAGATCAGTGGAAGATGCTGCGACTAGAGCGTTGGTAGCCGTGGAGAGGGAAGAAGGAGCATTGTGCTAAAGTTGCACTTCATGCAGGAAGAGCATTGATCGAGCTTCAACAAAGTTGGGTAAAGGAACGCGATGGCTAATGGTAGTAGAGACAGACTGGTAGGTCGAAGGAAGACCAGCTAGAATTTGGAGCACCAAGTCATCGTCGGAGATGGGAGAACCGACGGCTGTTAATGAATCAGCCAACATCTTAAGCTTGGTAACATACTCATTAATGGTTAATTCCCCTTTCTTTAAGCTATGAAACTCCAATTTCAATTGGAGAAGGCGGGAACCAAGCTGATCGTGGTATTTATAGTACAATAGTGTAACAACCCTAGCCGTCTACATGGGAAACCCTAATTAGGGTTTCGATTATTTCCATATTCTATCACTTTCTGCCTCTTGATTCTCAATTTTCGCTCATTCTCATACGCCGCCTCTATATCATTCAACACCTTCGTTAAATGAGTCAAATCGCCATTTGCACGCTTAGCTTCGTTTATGAGGTTCGGGACGTGGATATCATCTTCATCCCCATGGCTCTAAGGGAATCAATACCAAAATTAAATGTCATCCAACAGAAAAAAAAAAAAAAAACAACAAAAACTAGCGAAACAAAACATCACACACAAAACAAAAGAGGAGATAAACAATCAAAATTCAATCTGGAAACATAAAACACCTGGCGATTAGTCCGAGTATAAATTGATGTCTACCTTAGAAGAGGAGTATAGAAAGCTAAATAAGTGGATTTTCAGTTTCAGTAAACTGGACAATAATTTTAGGACAGAAGAAGTAGCTTTTATAGTAAGGCTGCAGGGGGATATTATTATAAAGGATTAATATCAAAAACACCCTCGAAGTTTAATCGATTATCTAAAATAGCTCTAGCTTTTAATTAAGAAAATATTAAACACACCCTTTTATTAGGTCAACTATCAAAATAACCCGCTGACGCACCAAGAAGATGATGTATAAGTATGATGTTACTATTTAATTATACTCCATCTGTCCCAAAATTATTGTCCAGTTTCAGATTTCACTTTTAGTACAATTTGAACTAGAAATGAAAACCCAAACTGGACAATAATTATCGGACGGAGGGAGTAATAAATATTCTTATTGAAATTTTTCCAGTTTAATTCTTGATTTCTTTCTATCACGAAGAATGGCCTTCTCCCCCCTCTCTCTCTCTCTCTCAATGTGATGATCAAACAAGTGCCAAAAAATTTTGGAACGGAGGGAGTATAGTTTTTAATTTGAAATTGAAAATGGTTAGATAAAGATTAGTAGTTTTCTTTTCCCTACTACTTTTTCTTTTTCTCTTTTATTTTGTTTTTGGTAATGCAAGAAAATTGTGAACGAAATTGGAACTTAGGCATGGCCGATGGGATTGTATGTGCGTGCATGAATTGATTGAATGCTTCAATTCGTTAATGGTTTTTCAATTCGGCGCCAACACAATTGTTGTTGTGTAACTTTTATGTGCGAAAAAACATTTCACATTTGAACTATGAATGTATTGGATCCATTTGAATGTCATCTCCCTTGTGCTATATTACGAAAACAACTTTGTTTGTCGTGTCATTAATTTGTCCTTCTGAGAATAAAGATGATGAAGAAGAGAGAATTTGGATTGCTTAATTAGAAGACCAATACGGCATCATTTTTCCTTGTTTATAACATTACAATCTTTTAATTCTCGGTTTGGCTATATCCTCACAAGTCCGGAGTCTTTAAAAAAAAATAAAAATCTTTCTGAAGTGAGAAACATTTGTTCAATTCAGCGATAATAAGATGGACATTTTTGAATGAATTAGCCATGTTACTCTCATCCTTGTTACCAGACATTGTGATATTTCTTAAACATTCTTTATAATATTATTTTAGGGAAAAATAAAAATTTAAAAATATTTTATATAATAATTGAGAAATCACAATAGATGCGAAAGTACATTTTTAAATTTTCCATTAGTACAATATACTCCCTTCGGTCTTTATTATAAGACATTTTGATTTCGTCCTAAGTTTATCCTAAGATATCTTTTAAATTGAAAAAAAAAATCTTAAAAATGTATTGTGTTTTTAAGAATCCGGTCTGAACGATTATGTTTATGACAGTAAAAGAATTGACAGTTTCCTGCTACGTTTTTTAACTAAGTTCCAGACCTTTTTTTTGTTCTTTGTTAATCTGTTTAATTCGACATGAGATAATGGCACATACGGTCGCTGATTCTTCTGTCAGGATGTCGATGTGTAAAGCTCATAATAACGCATATTACGTGCTTGATCATTCGCGTCAATGAACTTCAGTTTTTTCGTTCACTAAGTTCTTATTTCCCGAGTCGTAGTTCTCTGTTTTTTTTCTTGCTTTTCAGAACCAATATTGTGGCGTAGTAGATTATTGTAGATACAAGTCGTGGCAACAAAGGGTTGATGTTACGATTGTGAATATGTCTAATGGGACTTTCTGCTTCTTTCAATTTGGGGATTGTGTTTCTCTGTTTTAGCTCAACTTATATTTTGGTATTGGGGAAAATGAATATGATACATTGTATTTGTCTTTGCAGATTTTTTTTTATAGATTTTTTTTGCTTTTTGCTTAGAATGATATATTATTAATTTGATGTTTATGTCAACTTAATTTTTTCTTCATCATTTTCTTTATCTTAATTTTTTTTATAATCCATGAAATAAAAAGGTAAATTAATTATTTAAATTTAATAATTATACTAGTATCTAAATATACAATTTATGAAATATAAGAAAAAGAATCTCAAAAAATAACGAATAAAAAAAAATTTAAATTAAAAAAATTTAAAATGACGAAATTACCCCTGGACCCGAATCAAATGTATTGCACATGAAAAATAAGTTTGAAAATAAATAATTATTTTGTAAAAAATCATATAGTATATTATCATGGTTATGAAAAGTAGTAAAGAGAAATAAAATAAAATAGAAAAAATGAATAAAAGAGACTATTTTGTTATTTTTATATTTTTTGGAGTTATTTTTATAATATTTTAAAACTATTAGGATATTTTAGGTTAAAAATTAATGGAAATCAGTTAAGTTTAATGGAAATTAGGCCAATTGGTCGGAATTAACAAAAATTTTAAATAGTAAGGATAAAATTGGCTAACCGAAAATCAATAAGGTAGAATTGAGGTCAAAGCTTTGGGTATGAACTTTTTCCCTTCTTCTTCGTTATAAGTTGGTAAAACATTTTCGGCAGTGTCGATTTTGGGGTTTATTCTGTTATTTCGACACTTTTTCTTTGTCACTGGAGAGTTGGAACTGGGATTTGTCTGTTTATGTTCTCAGTGATAATTAGAGAACATCACCTATTAGATTTCTTAGTTTCTGGCTTTGAGTTCGAGACTTCAGAATCAGTTGCTTCACTCATTAGGATTTTTTCCATAAGATTTTTTCGACAGCATTCAATTAGATGTGCCTTTTATATCTAGGTGTTTCTTTCTTCTTCCCTGGTGCCTTACTTTGTTCTATCTTACAAAATTGTGTTTATCCATTTTTCCTGAGATATTCTTTCGAGGTGTGAATATACATATATTAAAATGAAGAGCCCTGAGCTACTACGTGGTGTCAGCGATATAGATCCTATGTCACGATATAGGAAATTCCACAATTTAGAAGGACAAATATCATCTGAATTTTTGTGGGCTGGCCTGATTGCAGCTCAATGTGTTAAATGTTCATGCGTACTGTTGACATAGATCAGTCACATGATGTTCTTTAATTTGATTTCAATGATTTTGATAATTAAAAAAGCCACTTGAATTCTGGTTGGAAATGTTTTGCATCGTTTGTGATATTTTGGACTTAAGAATGTGGATGGATTAAATGGTCAAGGATAAACAAACTAATGGCTGCTTTTATCTGTGTTTCAGGTGGTTAGCCTTCTAAGGTTTAACGGGTTTCCTTAGGTTTATTACATAATTAACTATGCATATAAGTCTCGGTCATGTTATATAGGTGTGTATTCTTGTTGTGTTATAACCAGGAAACATTAAAATACGACCTGATTGCCTTCAACCGTAAAAAGCAAAGGCCCGACAGAATCAGGAGTATTTTACTCTTTACAAGTTGGCAAGAAGTACTGATGTGTGTGCCTTTCATATTGTTCTAACCGCTTTCTCAGTAATACCAGGAAGTTTCAAGCAAAAGGACCCGAGTTTGAAATCTGTATAACCTATCACCTGAAAGTTAAAGAACTTGAAATCTGTTGAAGAATACTTTGGAGCAGCAGCTGGAAATCTGACCTATGGCTCAATTGGTGGGGAATGCAGAACAGGATTGCCAGCTGCAGTACAGACCTGTTATATCTGCATCAGGAGATACTGCAGCCAGTGTCCAATATCTTGACATAAAAACTATTCAATCATGTGAAACGAGTCAGGCTCCATTACTCGCAATACAGGATAAAAGTTTACATCCTCAAACAACGGAAGACATCACAACTACAAAAGCTTTCTCAAGTGGGAAACAGCTTTCTCGTGACAGGAAACAGTTTTGGTTTTGGCCTTGGAAAACAGTTAAGAGCAGAGGTATGCCACTGAGAGAATGATATGATACTATCAATTAGTTCTTGGTTTCAAACCTTTATTTCAGAAAATAAAACCACTGCATGCTATTCAGTTCACGGTCAGTCCAATATTTTTATTTTTTTTGTTGTCCCAAAAATGAAGAATTCTATGAAGTGCTGTCAAGATCACGAATGTCTTTCTACCATACATAGCTTACTATATGGGTGTGCTTATGCTGTATTGACTAGGTATCAAATGCTTTTTGTTGCAGCTGATGCTTTGTATTGGCCGAGTCAGTGTGCTTTCTCAAACAACATGTCTGCACTATCTAATTTCAGTATTCTTTCTCGCTCTAAGTGACAACTTGCCCTTCAACGTCTGATAATTGTGTTTTCACTTTTCAAATTTATTGGAGGTTCCAAAGAAAGTCTACATTTGAAATGGTTGCTCTCAGATTCCTTTTCTTGTTATAACAGATAATCATCAGAAATCATTCCCCTATTACACTACTTCTTCTCAGTTCTCACTTTTTTTAGTGTGTTTTTTTTGCTCTTTTTGTCCTTGAAAATTGATGGAAGCCAAGTAATCTTTACTATTGAGTTCACCATAGTAAATGTGAATATTTACAAGTTTTTGTTTTTGTTTCATGACAAAATGCATATATTTTGTTGTTTCTTTTGCTAAGATTTTCATGCTTATTGTGTAAGATAAACACATTCATTGATCTGTTGGTTTCAGAGTTACTGTTAATGAAATCTCCTAATTCAGGTGATGTGGAGCGAAGTCCTCCTTGCCATGATCACATAACTGTTGACAAATTAATTGAATTTCCATATGAAGAACTTGCAAAAGCTACTTGTGATTTCAGTTCGGCTAATAAGATTAGCGAAGGTATCCTTCTTGCTGTTTATCATTCTGAGCTCAGAGGCAAGGTAATATCTCATCCTTTTCCGCATCTTTATTTAAGGATAAAAACTAATGGAATCTAAAGATCGATTAAAGCATTGTTCAGTGGATCATTTGAGTAAGACCTCTCTATTGGTTACTTTGCATATCGTGGTAGCCGAAGTCAGATTGACTGGATTTTTAAGTATTGATAAGAAATTTTAACTATTTTGCCATTGAAGGCTGAATGGTTGCTTTTACTTTTCACTCTCACTGTGTCAAAATTTCCCATGTCATCTGTGCCTGATATCTTAAAATCTCATATTTTGTCGTAGTATAATTAATATACCTCCCAACAATGTCGTCGAGATCAGAGTGGACATTAGTTTTAAAGTTTCCCTAAAGAATTTTATCTTGCCTTACTACAGCTGCTACCTAAAATTTCTTTGTGTACTTTTCATATTTTGGCAATTCTTGACTTGTCTTTTATTAAGGAGGAATTTTTTATGTTTCCACCATCATGTTTCTAATACGAATTGCATGTGTTAGTATAGATCCTGACCTCTGAACTCAGGTGTTTTGGTGCAGAAAGTTGCAATCAAGAAACTGGGCATGGAGAGTAGCAAAGAATTTCTAACTGAACTGAGAGTTTTATCACATATTCATCATCAGAATTTGGTACGCAAAATCCTCTATGCACTTTTAACATAGTTTTCCTTTTATCAATTTTCTTTCGGTCCTTAGATTGGAGGAGCATTCATGGAGGGGTGTTCACCTCTAATTTCTATGCACTGAAAAGCACATCTTACCAACAAAACTTAGAATTCGGGCTTTTCTCTGATGTGTTTTGCAGTTGCAAAATTTCAGCCACATTAATAGTCATTATTAACATGATTTCAGGAATTTTTCTGAGTATGTTTAGAATCTTTCCTGGTTTTCATGCTTCTGGTGGACACGAGATTAAGATATTAGAATTGTGCATGACGCTGTCTGTTGAGAAATGAATCAGTTGCTTTTGAGATGTTAATTTTATTCATTGATGCTGGATACTGGTCCGCTTATTAGGATATTATGTTGAAGGTTCTCTTCTTCTTGTGTTTGAGTATGCTGATAATGGAAACTTAAAATTCCATCTTCATGGATCAGGTATTGCATTATCTGCAAACAAGAAAGCAAATCTTATGTTAGACCTGAATTTGCAAGTGTTCAGCTCTCTACTGTTACTATTGACAATCTTGATTTGATGCATTCTCTGAGCCCTGAATCGGCAATTGGAATATAGACAAACTTGAAGTGAGCTTTGCGGCAGTAATAAGTGATGCCATTTCAATACTTTTCAATATAGACAGACTTAATCAGTTGATTGTGTTTTACTGTTTTCTAATCATTATTGTTAATCACTTTTCAGTACCTTTTTAGCATCAGTTCTGGGAAGCTTTAAGGCACACACAATGTTGGTTTCTGGGTCAGTTGTCTGGAAATGGTCATCGGAAAAGATACTCATCGCATTTCTGTCTGTACATGCCAGGGTGTGAACCATTATCTTGGGCAGCAAGGGTGCAAATTGCTCTGGACTCAGCAAGAGCTCTAGAGTACATTCACGAGCGTAAAGTGCCGGTGTATATCCATTGTGATATTAAACCATCAAAAATTTTGCTTGACAAAAGTTTCCATGCGAAGGTCGTACTATTGTGTCTGGGATAATATATTGAGCCCTTTGCAAGGCTCGTGAGGTCAGTAACCTATGTTGTTAATTTCGCAGGTTTCAGGTTTCGGTTTAACCACAATTACTGAGGCTAGAGGGTTGTCTTCTCTCAAGCGTCTAATGCGTACATTTGGCTACATGCCACCAGAGTAAGCACTTTTGTGTTTTCTGTTAATTTGTGTTCAGAAAATGTGGAAATCGTTCTGTGTAGTAGAACACATCTGTCAAAACAGCTTATTTATTGGAAGCTAAGTGTTACTGAGATCTGATGTTTGAGAATCAACACTTTCTTTCATTTAATTTCGCATAGAGACCAAAGTAGATTCTCACAATCTGGAGAAAGGAAATGTTTCAATGAGCTGCTTTAATTTTGAAGCACTGAGAAGTTCATCTGCCCTTGGTCTCTTGTTCAGTTACTTTCGGAGCATCTTAGTTCTGAATATTTTGATTGAGTTTGAAAAGAATCCCGACCTTATGGGACAAAGTTCAACAATCTCTGCCTTCATAGTCGTTGTTTGATTGCAGTTATGCACAGTACAGTGAAGTTTCTCCTAAAGTTGAGGTTTACACTTTCGGGATTGTGCTTTATGAGTTAATTTCGGCCAAGCAAGCTATAATCAAAGAAGACTCCATTACTAAAAGCCTTGTTCACATGGTAAGCTCTTTGCATTGCTTAGGTAACGCTAAAGCGACTTTGCAGCTTAACACTGCGCTTAGAAGTGATAAAGGGGGCAGATATTGTTCGATAGAAGCAGGGGTGGCTCTCCCATTAGACAAAATAGGCCATCGCTTAGGGCTCCGGAATCGGAAGGACCCCGAATATATATATATATATATATATATATATTATTAAAAAAAATTTAAAGCTTATAAATATTGACCAATTGTAGCCAAAAAAAAAAGACCACTCAATATTTATTAATTCACGTGTATTTTATACTTCAGAATAATAGGGAAAGTAATTAAGTAAAATCAATAGTGTTTTTTATGGGTGGTGATTTTGCCACAACAATTTCTAGCATCTAGTGCATATGTTTTCATTTTTTCCACATCTGCCCTCGTGAAATCAATTTCTTTATTTTCCTCTCTCCCCCATCTATCGCTCAATTAGCTCTTTCTTACTCTCTCTCTCTCTCTCATAACAACGCTATTAATTTTCCTCCAAAAAATTAATTATTTTCTTTTTATAGTTAATAGAGCTATCTCATCACTACAAAGTAGATTCGAAAATTTTAAAATGTACGAAATATTTTTGGTTTTCTATTTAGTTTGAAAAAAATTAAAATCACTTGATGACAAAAATTTAGAAAAAAATTGTCTTAACCTTCAAAACTCTTTAACACACAATGATAGTTTAGATATTAACAGTTTTGATTTATTATATGAACTAAAAATTTTAAGAGAAAATGTAAATGTTGAGAATAATAATCCAATAGATATACTTAATTATATTAAAAAACTTAATTCTTATCCAAATGCTTATACTTATAGGATAATGTTAACTATTTTCGTAACAGTTGCTTCAGCAGAAAGAAGTTTTTCAAAACCAAAAATAATAAAAAATTATTTAAGATCAACAATGTCACAAGATAAATTAAATGGATTGGCTATTATATCAATAAAAATGACTTACTAGAAGAGATAGATCATGAAACTTTCATAAAAGAATTTGTAACCAAAAAAGCTAGAAAAATAAATTTAATATAACCAATACTTTAAAAAATGCTAGGAAGAAAAACTTAATATGAATAATATTTGGAAAAGACTTTTTTAACTCCGCCTGCTATAAATTCACGGGTTTATAGTTGCCGGTCCCAAGCCCAAAAAAAGGACGAGGGTTAAAATTTTTTTTCTTTTTTTTTAAATTTTTTTATTATTAAAAGGCCCCGATTTTAGAACTCGTCTTAGGCCCCCAAAAACGTTGAGCCGCCACAGGATTGAAGTGCAAGATTTGTGTGACCTGTTTTCATTTTCCTCCAATGGCATGAAAAGGATCATAGAGTTTCTTAAATTAATTGGGATATCCATTTGGTAGTCCCAAATATTGTCTGCTACGTCTGACAAATGATGGATATAATGCGTCTCTGTTATATGACAGTTTGAAGAAATTTTTAGTCTACCAGATCCAAATGATGGTCTCTGCAAATTGGTTGACCCCAGACTTGGAGATAATTATCCATTTCGGTCTGTCCTCAAGGTAATTCTCCGCGCATTTGTACATATCCGGTGACATTCTTGCTCAGCTCTAAATAAAATGACGCCGAAAATGTTCTTCTTGAAAGACAACATTGGAAAACATGTTGCAGATGGCTCAGCTTGCCCGAGCTTGCACTCGCACAAATCCTCATATGAGGCCGAGCATAAGGTCCGTCGTGGTTTCACTAACGACAACGACAGTTTCTTCCTCCATTGAGGAATGAGAACTAAGATGTTCAAATGTTCGAAGGAGACCAAGATCTTGATTCTTGAATTTAAAGCGCTCAAAGGTAAAGATGAGCAGTGGTGGAAGGTTACTGTAGGCAATTGATGATGGCTTGGATTGTTTTTGTGTTGTATTCTGATAAGTTTACCATTATATATACATTGTGATAAGGTACCATTTAAAGAGTGAAGATCACTAAAAAATATCCACAAACACCACATAGTTTGATGACTTGCAAGTAAGTTTGTCACATTCACCTTGATATAAATTTCAGACTAATTTACAAGGATGAGGCTTGATGGAGGTTGGCCAGTAAACAACTCCTCTTGTTATCATAACAGAAGGTGATTTTTGATGGGACTGAAAGGTTGTTTGTAAATGTATTATGAAGATGTACAACTTCTATAGTGAAAGCCACTAAAAAGATGTAGAGCATTACACAATCGGATTATTACTGAATGAGTAGTCAAACTCATTTAAACACAGTGAAAGGTTGAAAGGTTACAGAAGGCTGAAGGTGAATGATGGTTACTTCGAATCAGGAATGAAGTCCAAGCTCAGTTATCAGAATTACGCCACAAAATTTCTAAAAACAGCAACGAAAAACATGTTGCGGAATAGCTTGTTCTCAGCTAAGGGCCCATGATTCTTATGGATTTCAGAAATTTTATCTCAGTTATTTTTTCATTGTGTTAGTTGATGTATACATGCATGACCAAGATCATAATCTAAATGCAAAATATAAAATCACCAAATATTTCACAAAATTATTGCAATACAAGTACTCCTGAATTCTGATGACACATTTGAAGTACATGTATATTATAAAAAAACAAAAAGGTTTAATTACAATTGAATAACCAATTATGTTTAGAGGCATAATCTCTATTTCTCCTATTGAAGAAATACCAAAAAAAAAAAATAAATAAATAAAAATGCTAAACATAAACCGAGAGAAAAAAAAAGATATATAAACTTTTGTCTTAGTTAGAAAAGGTTACAATTAACTGACGAAGGCAAGTAGTAAGTAATCCCATTTTATACAAAAGTCCTCAACAAAAAAGCTATTGTCATTAGGCTTGCAACTGCTGAGCAAATAACAACAGCAATGGTACCTCTTTCTTTAGTAATTACCGTGACAAAATGCATCGTCACATCCACCGTGATCTTCCTCCCATTCTTGACGAGAAAACGCCGGCGATTTCCCGCGAAAGCGAGGAGGACTAACACCGTGATCCAAGCAACCACCGTTGTCCGGATCGCCAACACGACCAGCAATACGGCTAGGAAAAGAAATCCGGCCGCGATCGGGAAGAACGACGACGAATAATTATTATCACTTGAATACGAACATGGTTTGATCCTTTCGTTGGAAAATCCGACGATGAATAAAGAAATCAAGAACAAAAACAAGCATGTTGTTGTTGTTGTTGTTGCTCTTGTTGTTGCTTTTTGTGATGAAGAATGAAGGTTCATCTAAGATGAAGGTGATTAAACATCTAACTTTTTGTAACAATGTATGAAGAAGAAGAAGAGTTTTTCCTTTTTCCCTTTTTCTTTTGTGTGTGTGTGTGTGTGTGTAAATGTATTTGGTTTGAAGGAAGATTAGAGGAAATTAAACTAACTGGATTTCAATGATTTGATTTGGGATATATAACTCATAAGTGGTTGGAAAGGGAAAAAAAGGAATTGGTTTCTCCATGTGCAGCACATGCAGTGGTTGGGAAACAATGATAAACAAACAAATTTCATTAACATATTTAATTGAGATTAGAGTATAATGAGGACACACTCACCTCTTTCCTGGAATCACTCTAATGCTATGTTGTTCCAAGCTAGCTAGTCAAAATGCAGACATCCCAACTGAGCTATGGTTTACTTTAGTGAACACTTCATTTTGAAAAATAAAAATTATTTTAGGGACACGGTAGACCATAAGATATAGTCTACATTGTATTCATTAAATTTTACACAGTTTGATATATAATTTACAAATTACAATATAGATTATTTTTCTGAAACAGATAATATATTATTTGAGAGCATGTAATTGGAGGAAGTAGTAGTAGCTAGGGGGGGCGGTATTATTTTTCATCTTTTGTTGGTTTAGTGTTTTATTATTCTTTGGACTTTAAGAAGTTTCAAGTGGACTAAATTTAGTAAAGTAGTCTTCTAAAAAAAAAAAAAGAAAGTCGCCCTTTTGGACTAGTCTTGGGGTAAGCGGCTTTTCTTCCCTTCGAATTTGTACAAAGTTAAGATATACTTATATTTAAACTAACTCTAAGTTAGGTGTTGAATGATAGAAGTAAAATAGCCGTCTCTACCAATTTGTACATTTTCTCCATTAGTCAATTCTCTTCATCATCATAGAATATACTATACAACAAACAGTTAATTAATAGAAATCAGTTGGAACACCAAATGCGAATATGAAAGTAACATTATCATTACCTTATTAAAAATTTAGGCTGTAATAATTTGTTCACACCTGATCATGTATATCACAAACAATCATTACCAAGATCTCAGGGTATCTTCTTATACACCCTAGCATATATGAGTGAAACAATATCTCATCATCTAAAAATAATTACCCCTGTTACACAATTTTTTTTAAATAGTAAAAAAGAAAATCATTTTGAAATAGAAGAATTAATATTGGAAATTTCACATTAACGACGAATGATGGTCGCATCAATTATCCAACCATTTTGTTGGTTCTCAATGGAAGGAATTTTCATGTATCTTTATTTGATTGTGAATTTAAAGAATTCTACGTTTTCACTCCTAATAGCACTGATTGAAATGCGAATGAACTATGTTCTTGTCGAGGTTTTCTGCTCCTAAAGCAACGATACAACCCTTTCCCTTCGCATTTGACAGTCTAAAAGTATCTTTTCTTTATTTCTTTCTTTCTTTCCTTTTTTTTTTTTTTTCTTTCTAATCTTTATTTGCACCAAACCACCTAGCTAGCAAGTGTTATATCGAAAATGTGTGTGAGGTGAGTGGTTTTGATTAATTGAGTACTCCCTCCGTCCCATAATTATTGTTCAGTTTGGATTTCTATTTCTAATTCAAATTATACTAAAAGTGAAATCTCAAACTGGACAATAATTTTGGGACAGAGGGAGTACATTTTAAGCATCGCCTACATATTGTTTTTCTTGTCGTTAAAAAATAAAACATGTTCACCAAATACGGCATAATTTTTTCGGGAAAAAAAATCTTTATTAATAAAGGAACAGAGGTGTACAAATCAACGACTTTTGGACCAAGACTAATTTACCTCAAATCGAGATACTTCTACTGTGCCAATAATTTGACCACTGATGTAGAATTATTTAATAGTAAGAAAATTTAGGAAAATTATTTAATAATAACTAATAAGAATAATTACGAGAAATTATCGAATTTATCAGTAAAGGTTTAGGGCATGTGCAATGCATTTGCATCACTCGGGCATATAGAGGTGGCAATAATTTTACGCTGTCGGTTTTGAGCTAATAAAAGTGCTGGTTTCAACTTTGAAGCATTCAATTGTGTGTTCCCCAAGATGTGCATAATTGAGCCCTCTAATAATCTAAATTTACACCCACCATTTCTCAAATGCTGTGAATGGACTAAATGAACTGAACGTATGGCTGACTTGTATGTCAAGTTTTAACTAATTTATTCATTCTTGGTATACCCAATGTGTGTCTGTGTGCGTGTTTTTGTTTTCTTCTTTTCTTTTTTTTTAATATAAATTTCTTGATTTTGGAAGGCACTTGGTTCAAGCATCGACAAAATAGAGAGATAAAAATGCGCGTATAATAGTGCCCCTCCACACCCCAAACACCCCCGGGTCGAAACCTAGGTCCGCTTGTTTGTTGGTTTCGCGTAACGAATAATAAAAGTAGTACAACTTGTTCCAGTAGTTTGTAAAATTCTTAGATAAGTGCTGTTAGACAATTTACACATATTTCTGATTCTTTTTTAAGAAAGAAATACTTGAATATGATCGGTACAATATCAAATTATCCACAACTTATCTCATTATAATGAAAATAGCTGCCATTAGTACTATTACTTTTTGAGTTTGAAATATTTGAAACAAAAATTGCATTTTGTAATAATAAAACAGAGAGCTAGATTTGCAAGGGTCCTTGTGGAGATGGAAATTAAAGAAGAACTGCCAGAGAAGGTGATGTTTGTGAATGAAGTAGGCAGGTTACATGCACAGAAACTAATCTATGAATGGAGACCAGTACTCTGTAAGGAATATGGCCATCTCAAAAAAGGGTGTAAGTTACTTGTGAAGCCTGTTTGGAAGCCAGTGCAAGGCTCAGAGGAAAGGGTTGAGGAGGTAATAGATGCCAAGACTATAGAGAAGGAAAACAAAGAGAAGAGATAAGGGAAGAGACTACTCCGAACACGGAAGCTCTCACCAGCGATCCAAGCTCAGCTGTAATCAGGCATGAAGGGACTGAAGTTCAGAAGGCTCAAAGAGTTGTACCGTCACAACAAGCCGAAACTACAGAAGCCCATGAGATCCACCTCAAAACTAATTGGCAATGAGGGGAGTAGCTCATGAAGCTTATATATTGATACTCAGAGTCTCCCAACACCAATGTGGGATTGGGACTCTTTAATACTCCCCCGCAAGCCCAACGTATTTTTTAGGTTGGGCTTGTCCTAGTTTTTTCAGCTCAGGCACCGCCTCACGTCTCAACCCTATTTTCTTATTGGGCTTTTTTGGAGTCCGAATGTTGGCGGGCTGGCTCTGATACCATACAGAAGCCCATGGGGATCCACCTCAAAACCAATTGGCAATGAGGAGAGTAGCTCATGAAGCTTATATATTGATACTCAGAGTCTCCCAACACCGATGTGGGATTGAGACTCTTTAATAGAAACCAATGTCAGTATGATAGCACCAAGAGTGATAAAAGGGCCTAGCATGGCATTGAGAAGCATATCAGCCACAACGAAGCAAAGTGACGAACAGGATGAAGCAGGTGAACCTTTAAATCCAGATCCTCACATAATATGAGTAATATACTACTGTGGAATATTAGAGGGTTCAACCACCCTCTGAAACAACAAGAAATGGGTAACATTATTAAAGCACAAAATGTTGGTATAGTAGGAGTAGTAGAGAGTAAGCTAATAGCTGAAAAATGTCTGGACATCATAAACAGACGGTTACAACTACATAGAAAATGCAATGAATAACCGGAAGGGCAGAATATTGGTTATATGGAAAGTAAATGACTATGTGGTTGATACATTGGTGATTAAGGATCATTTTATTCACTGCATGGTGATAGAAAGAGGAACTCGAAAGGAGTACACACTGACAGTAGTTTATGCTAAGAACACGTAAGGCGACAGAACTGAGTTATGGGCAGACTTAA